CTAAGTTTGGCCTCATTGAAGAGCAGTATTTCAATATGAGTAGGAAAATGAGAATACTCCTAAACATATTTTTTTTCAGGAAAAAAAGCACTGGTTATAATAATTTCCAATTCCCGAAGCACTTCAGATACATGCCCTTGTAATCCTTACAGCAAACTCGTTCAGTAGGTCAGTATTATATTGCCTGTATAATATATGCAGGACTGAGAACTGAGAAGCAGTAACTGGATACAGACTGTCTGTTGGGTTCCAACCTGAAGCATAGTTATTTCAGCACTTTACAGCTCTACTAACATATGATCATCACTCAGACTAATCATCTCCTGAACACCTCTCTCTCTCTCTCTCTCTCTCACACACACACACACACACACACGAGTTCTCTGGGGCTGAATATCTCTATCTGGCTTTGGCAGAATGCCAGTAGTACTATATGATCAGCAATAATAATAATAATAATAATTTATTATTTGTACCCCGCCCATCTGGCTGGGTTTCCCCAGCCACTCTGGGCGGCTTCCAACAAAGATGAAAAATACACTAAAATGTCACATATTAAAAACTTCCCTGAACAGGGCTGCTTTCAGATGTCTTCTGAATATCAGGTAGTTGTTTATCGCTTTGACATCTGATGGGAGGGCGTTCCACAGGGCGGGCGCCACTACCGAGAAGGCCCTCTGCCTGGTTCCCTGTAACTTGGCCTCTCGCAGTGAGGGAACCGCCAGAAGGCCCTCGGAGCTGGACCTCAGTGTCCGGGCAGAACGATGGGGGTGGAGACTCTCCTTCAGATATACTGGACTGAGGCCGTTTAGGGCTTTAAAGGTCAGCACCAACACTTTGAATTGTGCTCGGAAACGTACTGGGAGCCAATGTAGGTCTTTCAAGACCAGTGTTATATGGTCTCGGCGGCCACTCCCAGTCACCAGTCTAGCTGCCGCATTCTGGATTAGTTGTAGTTTCCGGGTCACCTTCAAAGGTAGCCCCACGTAGAGCGCATTGCAGTAGTCCAAGCGGGAGATAACCAGAGCATGCACCACTTTGGCGAGACAGTCTGCAGGCAGATAGGATCTCAGCCTACGTACCAGATGGAGCTGGTAAACAGCTGCCCTGGATACAGATTTGACCTGTGCCTCCATGGACAGCTATGAGTCCAAAATGACTCCCAGGCTGCGCACCTGGTCCTTCAGGGGCACAGTTACCCCATTCAGGACCAGGGAATCCTCCACACCTGCCTGCCTCCTGTCCCCCAAAACAGTACTTCTGTCTTGTCAGGATTCAACCTCAATCTGTTAGCCACCATCCATCCTCCAACCGCCTCCAGACACTCACACAGGACCTTCACCGCCTTCACTGGTTCTGATTTAAAAGAGAGGTAGAGCTGGGTATCATCCGCATACTGATGAACACCCAGCCCAAACCTCCTGATGATCTCTCCCAGTGGCTGCATGTAAATGTTGAAAAGCATGGGGAGAGGACAGAACCCTGAGGCACCCCACAAGTGAGAGCCCAGGGGTCTGAACACTCATCCCCCACCACTTTCTGAACACGGCCCAGGAGGAAGGAGCGGAACCACTGTATGACAGTGCCCCCAGCTCCCAGCCCCTCAAGACGGTCCAAAAGGATGTTATGGTCGATGGTATCAAACGCCGCTGAGAGATCCAGCAGAACTAGGAAACAGCTCTCACCTTTGTCCCTAGCCCGCCTGAGATCATCAACCAGTGCAACCAAGGCAGTTTCAGTCCCATGATGAGGCCTGAATCCCGACTGGAAGGGATCCAAATGGTCCGCTTCTTCCAGGCGTGCCTGGAGTTGTTCAGCAAGATGCTATCTTCCTGCACGTGCAGGAAATTATAAAAGATTCTTGATCTGCCAGAGGCTTAATGTATAGTTTTCCCAGGAATGTGTAAACAAGCAACATACAAGCTTTTCTCTAGAAAATTTGTTATGTTGAAAGTTGCTTTTTTTCTACAAACAATTGCTGAGGGTGGGGTAGGGGAAATAAAGAACTGTTTCTAACTAACCGGCAAAAATGGTAAGATTTATGGTAATGTGTAATCATTGATTCTTCCCAATTAATCCGCTCACATCGTCAGAATCAAGTATTCACCAAGAATTCTGCAGATCGATCCATCCCTCTCTTGCCATCTTGTCTGTCAGATTCCACCACCAGACCTTTTCAAGTGCTCAGTACCAGAAGTCCCCCAGGATTATTTACATAGCAACTTAAGGAAGGAATTCTGCTAAGTGTTACGGATATCAAGCATATCCCCCCAGAGCCATGGGGAATGCAGGGTTGCCCAAAGGGAGGTGAGGTGGTGAAAAGCCCCACTGTGTTTAAAAACAATTCATTCCTTCCATTACTTAACCTTCATTTGCTTAGTTCCAGGACCTCCTCACACCTCCCTTTTTTTGTATTCCAGTTCAATTATTTCGTTCAGCAAATCCCTCCCCTCTTTATGTATCCTAATCATTAATCATAAAGTATTGTAATTTTGGATTTTTACATATCAATAATCCATTTTTCATATTCCTTGTAACCTTTCAGCTAAAGTTCACTTAGTTTCTATCCAACATCATTCTAGCATTCATTAATTTTACAATATTTCTGTAGATAGTCTTTAAACTTTTTCCAATCTTCCTCCATCGACTCTTCTCCCTGGTCTCGGATTCTGCCAGTCATTTCCGCCAATTCCATATAGTCCATCACCTTCATCTGCCATTCTTCCAAGGTGGGTAGATCTTGTGTCTTCCAATACTTTGCAATGAGTATTCTTGCTGCTGTTGTGGCATACATAAAGAAAGTTCTGTCCCTCTTTGGCACCAATTGGCCGACTATGCCCAAGAGAAAGGCCTCTGGTTTCTTCAAGAAGGTATATTTAAATACCTTTTTCAATTCATTATATATCATCTCCCAGAAAGCCTTAATCTTTGGGCACGTCCACCAAAGGTGAAAGAAAGTACCTTCATTTTCTTTACATTTCCAACATTTATTATCGGGCGCATGGTAAATTTTTGCAAGCTTGACTGGTGTCATGTACCACCTGTATATCATTTTCATAATATTCTCTCTTAGGGCATTACATGCCGTAAATTTCATGCCTGTGGTCCACAACTGTTCCCAGTCAGCAAACATAATGTTATGTCCTAGATCTTGTGCCCATTTAATCATAGCAGATTTCACGGTTTCATCCTGAGTATTCCATTTCAACAACAAGTTATACATTTTTGACAAAATCTTAGTATTGGGTTCTAACAATTCTGTTTCCAATTTTGATTTTTCCACCTGGAAGCCAATTTTCTTATCCAAATTATATGCCTCCATTATCTGATAATAATGAAGCCAGTCTCGCACTTTATCTTTTAATTTTTCAAAACTCTGCAATTTCAATTTGTCTCCTTCTTGTTCCAAAATTTCCCAATATTTCGGCCATTTGGCCTCCATATTGAGCCTTTTCTGAGCCTTTGCTTCCATCGGTGACAGCCACCTAGGGGTTTTATTTTCCAATAAGTCCTTATATCTTATCCAGACATTTAACAATACTTTCCTGACAATATGGTTTTTAAATGCTTTATGTGCTTTGACCTTGTCATACCACAAATATGCGTGCCATCCAAAAACATTGTTGAAACCTTCTAAATCCAAAATGTCTGTGTTCCCAAGAAGCAGCCATTTTTTCAACCAGCAGAATGCTGCTGATTCATAATAAAGTTTGAGGTCTGGCAGGGCAAATCCACCTCTATCCTTTGCATCGGTTAATATTTTAAATTTTATTCTGGGCTTTTGCCCTGCCAGACAAATTTAGAAATGTCTCTCTGCCACTTCTTGAAACAGTCCATTTTGTCCACAATTTGCAATGATTGAAACAAGAATAACATTCTTGGCAATACATTCATCTTTATAACAGCAATTCGACCTAGCAAGGAAAGCTTCAAGTTTGACCATATCTCTAAATCCTTTTTCACTTCTGACCAACATTTCTCATAATTGTCTTTAAATAGGTTTAAGTTCTTAGCAGTCATGTTAACCCCCAAGTATTTTACTTTCTTAACCAATGTTAAACCTGTCTCCTTCTGAAACCTCTCTTTCTCAATCGGTGATTAAATTTTTCTCAAGCACCTTAGTTTTTAACTTGTTCAGCTTAAATCCTGCCACATGACCAAATTCCTGAATCAATTCTAAAACTCTTTTAGTACTAGATTCTGGCTCCTGTAACGTCAATACTAAATCATCTGCAAAAGCTTTCAGTTTGTACTGTTTAGCTCCGACCTGTATACCTTTAATCAAGCGGTCCCTTCTAATCATATTTAGCAAAACCTCCGGGACTGAAATGAAAAGCAATGGGGAAATTGGGCAGCCTTGTCGTGTCCGAAAAGCCCCACTGTGGAGGTGGGAGACCTTCTGCTGGCTTCTAGCAGTGGGACTCATTAGTTGACTCAGTCCCTAAATTCCCAAAGTACGGTACCTTAAATCAGTATTGGGTTTTTCCTCATAATCAATCTATAAAGTAGGTTACATTTAACAGTTTTAAAAGTATGTCTGAAAGCTTTTTGGTTTGGTTTTTTTTAAAAAAATGGAGATGGGATGAATTCTGATTTAGCTAGAATTTGCGAGAGTGTCCTGAGATGGGGTTGATCGTGGCAGGGAGTGAGAGTGACCTACCACCATGGCCTGCTGCTATAACCATTGGTTCACCATACCCATCTAGGAAAAGTGAAGCCTGCTCATACATGCTGGGGCACGCAAATACTGCTGCATAGGCTTCCACATGACCAGGAACCCTGATCACACATAGCCGGTCCCAAAGATGACCATACAGATCTGATCTGATCTGATCTTGACAGTGTTAGAGAGTTGCTGGGTTGACTCAGCATCTGGGAGATAAGGCCTTCTAGTCATCAACTAACTTTGAAGAAAGCCAGCCAGAAGAAGAACTTTGCCCAAGGAATTGTGAATATTCTCCCCATGCTTACAGTTCATAAAAGGCTCACAAAATGGCAGGATGGTGCTCACCCGCTCTCAAGCACACAGGATCCACTCTGCTCCTCAGAAAGCCTCAGGACGCTGTCAGCAGCAGAAATCTATACTGGACTTTTATGGGACAGGTAACAACTTGCCAACCAGGAATGAAACTGCAAACACAAGGCGCCAGGGCATAAATCAGCTCCTGCCAGATCGACATGTGAGCTCCTTCAACAGTTCTGACAGCTCTGGTTTCAGTATGACTCACCATACTGTGGGGGACGGATTTGATGCTGCCACTGCTGATGAGATGATTATTTGGTTCATGGACCCAGCTCTTTATGGTGACGTTTTCAATGGCCCTGTGCAAGATCAACACCCACAGGCTAAAACTATGCCAGCTGGAGGCAAAGAGGCCCCTGCCACAGCAAACAGGTGAGAGTGGGGCCCTGTAACTGTGGAAGGCTCTACAGAATCATTGTTTTCTATCTTGACACATTCTTGAAGGAATCTTTGGAAGTGTGGCCCTGCTCTGTAAGGAGGTAACAGGCCTCAAGGCCACTACTGAGACCCTAGTGGGGCTTGTTAAAAATGGCATTTTGATTGTCGCTGACCCTCCCAGTCATGAGAACACAGACTCAGGACCTTTAGGTGATATTTTACATAATATCCAGTTGTGGATGAGCACACGATGATAGAGGCATTTGATAACACAGGGCTGCAGAGAACCAAGGACCCAAGTCAAGCCAGGTTCCTTGGAACCAGTAACATCATTGCTTGGAATATTGCCCTGGATGACTCATTTAATACCCTGGACTCATTCAATGTCTTGGACCTGAACCCCTCTAACCCTGGGCTGATGCTAGTAGATGTTAGGAAACATCTTGACAGTATGAGCTGTTGGGTGATGGAACAGACTCCATGACCTCTAGGGTTATTTCCAACTCTGACTCTAAAATTCTGTTTTTTTATTATCTGTGGGTAGATACACACCATTTGCCAGACACAGCACACTATGCCATGCAAAGATTTTTCAATCAGGCCACACTTGCTGAACAATTTCATAAAGACATTCTTTCATAACCTGTAGGTGAATGCCATCTGGTCATGGTGTTTGCTCATTTTTATTCCTATTAATCTCTTGACAAGCCATGTCACGTAGACATTAATGACTTTATAATGTCATTCAAGCCTAAACAGTGCTGGGTAGAATTTTGACATGCCTGTTCATTTGACTGGCTTATAGGCAGGTTATTTGCTATCAGCAAATATAGCAGAATGTGATGACTCAAAGAAAGGCAAACTTAAATGAATTGCAGACGACAGAAACTATAACCATGCCATTATTGAAGGAATCATAAAAATACATTATACTACTGCAGGTCACTCCTGTGCTAATATATACTGCCTTAACTATTTATGAGACTCCTTCGGAAACAGTTGGACTGAACATCTTAAAGATGAAACACGCTGTAGGTCAACTAGGTATGCATGGATCCGTCCACTTCCAGTCTGTGTCAATTTCATATGTGTTCATTCATATGTCTCTTCCATCCCATTTCTGCATTTCTCTGACTTCCTTTTTTAAAAAAATCTGATACATTCGATTACTCTGTTCTCAACAGTAGCCAACCAGATGTTTATGGGAAGACCACAAACAGGACATGAGTGATTAGCTCACAAGAGTACACATTTCTAAGTTATTTTATCAAAAAATACACATTTGAGTGAGCTTAAGTTTTCTTTAGGTTTTTTTATTTAAGCTAAGCTCTGCATTGCAAAATCTGTGGAAGCACAAAATCAGAAGGATAATTAGGTTCAAATCCTCCCACCAGTTTGGGTAGTGTACAGAAGATCAGGTAACCTTATTTGATTTTATTTAAATATTTAAGGACTGCACTTTCAAAAAAAACACAGCAAGGTGAAATCTGACACACAAAAACAACATAACAATAACATCAATAAATACTGGTTGGTAAAAACAAAGGTCTTTCTGAATAGCACCAATTTCAGATGACATCTAAATGTAGGCAGGGATGATTCCTGCCAATCCTCTACTAGCCAGCAGCTCCATTGGATTGGCTCTGCCACAATAAAGGCTGACAAAGCCACCAAAACTGCTCCATCAGAAGATCTGATGCTACTTGCTTCCTGATAGTGGATTTCCAAAACAGCTCCACACACAAACGTATACTAAGTGTTTGAAGCTGATGGATTTGAGTAGGGATGGAAGGCTCTGTCAATTTCGGCTTGCTAAGTTTCTCATCCCCCCCCCCCATCCATCTTAAATTCAGTCCTCTACATTTCTGCAGCAATTTGTGATTTTTAAAAATTTTTAACTTTACATCCTAATGAAAATTCTTTCGCATTTTAGTGGTTGTTGCCCCTACTAAACATATTCTTGTATTCAGTTCTGACTAATGTTCAAATTTTTGCAAGCTATTTCTACTTACTATAATGCACTCCTGCATATTTTCACCAATATATTGATTTTTATGGACACTTCTCTCTAACATATGCAGTTTTGTAAACACTGGGTGGAGCATTGCATCACAAAATTCAGACAAGTGTGAATGTCAACAGATGGCTGGTTTTTTGGGGGGTTCACATGTTGTTTCAGAAGGTGCAGATTTCAGCTTAAAATGCAATCAGAATTCTGAATCAAATTTATCCTCCATCCCTAGATGTGAGGAATCTTCTTTTTAAGCTTTCACTTCAACCTGGTTCAAAGGCAATACTTTGCTACATAGCAGCAGTTTCTGGAAAAGAATCAAAATGGAAACATTATGGTAGTGAAAATAACATACATAAATGTATTATGCTAGGGAAATGTGCTTTGCAAAAAATGTGTCTATATTGCATAAAACTGTGTCTTTTGTATGTAGAAGGTTCTAAGTTCAGTCTCTGTCATCTTCAGGTAGGGCTGGGAGGGACTGCGTCTGAAACCCTCGAGACCTGCTGGCAGTCAATTTAGCCAATTCTGAGCTAGATGGTGGCAAATCTTCTGACATAATGTATTCACGAATATTTCTGCACTTCTAAAATCACATGGTAAGAGTCCCACAAACCATCCTAATGGGGCAGGTAGTTATGGCTGCAGTCTTGATACACCCCAAGGAAGTAGGTCCCATTGAGCTCAATGGGGCTTACTTCTGTGCAGACCTGCATAGGTTTGCGCTGCACATTGTAGTTATTGTTATGCAAGGTATGATCATGGGTCCCGCAAATATGCCTCTGCTTTACCCTTTTATAAATAAAACAACAGTGATGACTTGCTCGGATTTTGGTTTGTTTTCAGCTATCCCGATCTAGGCAAATTCAGCAAGGGATTGAGGGAAGGCAGTTTCTATTGCATTTTGCATGGCAGTCATGTTTTATTAAGAATACGAGAAACAATTTAACTAGCACAAAGCTATGCATCATATGTCACTGGTGTGTGATGGGCATGTTTTGATAACTGTATAGAATTGGTAATGAAGAGACTTAACCCAAGTGGTTAACCTTAGCAGAAGCTTGCAAAGCCCAAAGCAGTACCAATTAACGGGGCTTAAAAAACATGTTTCAGACATAAAGAGCAAAATAGAGGTTCTTCCATACTTTCCCTGTCATCCCGCTTTTCTGCATTTACATACACAGAGAATCAATCCCACCAGTGGATTTATATTAAGGGAAATGCACTAATTTAACATTCTGGACTAACTCTAAGATATTGATTTAAGCAAAGCAGTTAGGGCTTCCTTTACGTTGTCTGACTTTATATGAGGTGACTAAGTTAACTGCTTACTGAATTTAATGTTACTCTACCCAATTTATAGAGCTAGTGCAACTATTTAGAAAAATAAATGATCTTAACTTCATTGGTTTCTTTCTAAAGTTTTGCTTTGAAAGAGTTGTAAATGCCCTTTTCTTTTCTAATATATTAAATGATAATTTTAATTTTAATTTACAAAATATTCCAGTCACCATTAGCCAAAAGAGGACAAACGTAATACATTTTTTCATCCCCACTTGCAGTAACATATCAGAATCAAAACTGCTCATAACTTATGCTCAATGGCTGTGTTGTTTTTAAAGATGGAGATCTCAGTGGGTTGCTTTATTGTTCTTTATTGTGAAGCTGATATAGTAGTATAATGAGTAGCGTGTTTTACTGTGCAATCCTAACCATGGCTACTCAGAAGGAAATCCAATTTAGTTAAACTGGGCTTTATCCCCAGGTAAGTAGGATTAGAACTGTAGCCTTGGTGTTTGTTGTGAATCACTTTGGATGCCACGCCAACAGCAGAGAAAGCAATATATATTGCAAGTGATATGTGGCAGCACTGACTGTTGTTAATAAATACTATGATGGTGTAGGCAAAACAAGCAAAGGACAGGATCCCAGAAAAATGGGAAACATGTCCCCAGCAGTTAAAGCATGGGTGAAGAATTGTGGTCCCCCATATGTTGCTGAACTCCAACTTCCAGCATCCCTGACCACTGACTATGCTGGCTGGGGTTGGTGGGGGTTCTAGTTCAACAACTTATGGAGAACCCCAGGTAGGGATGGACAGACTGGTCTTTTTCTGGTCTGTGTCAATTTTCCACGTGCTCACATTCTGCACTCTGTTCTGTCCCAACTGCTACATTGACTTGTAACTTTAAAAACAAAAAAGGATTCTTTTTGAACGTATCTTTTTGCAAAATAAACATTTTTATGCACTTTACTCGAATACAAATTGCATGCATTTTATCCTGATGCATACAGTTTCATGCACATTTTAAAGTAAAATACACATTTTATACTGATTTTGGTATGTTTCTTAAGGCTAAGAACTGTATTGCAAAGTTCAGAGAAATGCAAAAACCAAGACATAGCTGAGTCCCAATCCACATATTAGTACAGGAAGTGCAAATCAGGGCAGTTTGCTTTAAAATGTGGACCAAATGAAATCCAAATTAAAGCATACCTAGCCACAGGCTCCTTATCCCCTGTGTTAAACATTATTAAACTACAAGTTAAACAGATGGGTAAAAATTGCAGTGCTCAAATATAATTCTGGCACCCCCTGTAACATGTTTGCATCTTAAAGCAACAAAAAAGCCATCTAAGTTTGCTTTCAAACATATAGTCACACCAAGTTAAGACAAGCCAAAATCGGGGAGAGAGGATTCCTCTCTGAACAAGAACGACTTTGCTCTGTCCTCTTCTCCAGGTGCCCACTGAGTAAATAACAATGGTTGAAGATGAATTTTCTACCCATACAGAAGCATCAAACAGCCTGCCCATTCATCATCCAAATGAAATGTATTCAAAGACAAGGACAGCACCCCAGATGCCACCCTGCTCTCCTTTACCCCTTTCCTCGTCTACATTATCCATGGTATATGAAACAGCAACATGATAACTCTCTTTGCTAACTGTTTCTGTGGGCTGTGATCAATTTTAATCTGGCTCCA